CATGCCGGTGAAGAACCGGTACAACCTGGTGGACGATGGCTGCGACTCACGCGTCCCGCTGCCCAACGAAGAGGCCTTCCAGCACGGCATCCACTTCCAGGCCAAGGTGAGCTCCGGCCGCGCTCCCCCAGCCCCGGGCCCCTCGGTCGGCGGAAGGCAGCAGGGCCCCCCCGCCTGCCGGAGCCCCTCGCCGGCTCCGGGGGCTTTGGCCGAGGCCGAGCTCCCCGGCAGGTTCCCCCCGCAGCGCCGGGCCCTCTTTGCCCTCGCCTGTTGCAGACCAGCCCTGGGCGCAGGGTCCCCGCGGGCCGGCGGCCACCGGGAGGGGCACGTGGTGGCCACGGGGCCATGTGGTGGCCACGGGGCCGGTGGCACCGCGGGCTCGAGGCCGGGGCTGGCTGTGTCCCCCGCCGGTCCTGCCCCTGGTCTGTTTCTTCGGCTCCGAAAGCGCCCCTAGCCCATGCTGCTGTGTGCCAGAGCTAATGAAGTCTAAAGACAACACCAGGAAATTAGGAAAGCCTTACATTTAATTATCACAATCAAACAGGTTCTTGCTCTTTTCCTCGTATGTTTTCAGCTGTCTAATCCTTAGAAGCCGCCTTGTGCGCTTCATTTGAGGACTGATCTGGAAAGACCCCTCTTGACCGCGCAGTGGATGCTCCCGTGCCAGGCGCACGTCCTTGTCCTTGCTCGATCGGGTGCCTGCCCTGTCCCCCGCCGGGCAGGACCCCGTTCCTGCTGCAGCGGGGTAGCAGCTCTCTATTCCCCTGGAAACCACAGACTGTTACGTGCTGCTTCAAGCCATATTAGTGCCTTATTCCATCTGACCTGTTCCCTGCATGAAAAGCATGCATTCGAATGCATGCAGTCTTCAGGTATCAGAAACACTGATATTGTCAGAAATCTCGTATTGATCATGAAGAACAGTCTGGCAGCGCAGCATCGCTCTCCGAAAGTGACTCCATTGGAATTGACATTCTGTAGGCAGCGCGGGGAAGGGGTTTATAATTCAGCTGACAAGAAGAATTGCATTTTGCTGGAGCAACTCTAGGGTTCCTTTCCCTGCTTTGCAGGTGGCCTAACACAGATTAGAAATGGAATTCACGCCTCCTGTCTCCTGAGCTGGAAACAAGGGGCATATATATTCAAATAAACCTTTGAAATGTGCATTTTGGTTTTCCTGCTAAAAGAGCTGTAAGATTTAAGTAGGATATAGGATGGATCTGAATAGCCAGTTAATCACTTTTTAAAATCTCTCTCTTCCTTAGGGGAGAAAAACAATTAATCTTTGATTCCTTTTTTAAAATTAACATTTGCTATGCCGCAGACTGTGCTGAGGAGAAGAAAAATCCTCATTTTGACTTTTAAAAGATGTGAAGCAACTGTACCTTTAACTGAGTGAAATGGGCTTCTTCAGATTGACAGCTTCAGGCATCCAGAGCTATTCAGAGAGTGGATAACACGCTGTTAAGATGTGTGGGTCTGGGATGGGGTGTGCATTACCTTAGTAACATGCTTGCTCGGTTCTGCTCTGAAGTCTGTCTCTTCCAATTAGGACGCTCGGTGTGGGCACATCAGTCAGCTGCAGCTCTGACAATGACAGGGCTGTAACTGGCTGCCAGGTGTCTCGCACCAGGCAATCTCACCGACCGCGTTTCGTCTCCAATCTCCACATACCAAACCATCTTACTTGCCCTATAATCCTCAGGGACAAACTTCAGGAGGACAATACGGGGAGCTGCTTGTGGAAAGGTGGCTGTTTGTGCAAAGCTTCGTGAGCTGACAGGGCTCTGCACGAGTACCCAAACCCTCCAGCAAGGCTAAAGCAGGGAATTTGGGAGAATCTCCTCTGGCTCAGCAGTCACCAGCTCTCCTCCTGCCCCCACCTAGTCATTTATCTGTGGTAGCGTGGCCTGTTCCCCACTGCAGCTCTGTTGCTCGCAGACAAAAGGCCAGCCGGCTGCGCTGAACCGATCTGGATTACCTGTGACTGCACTGAGAGCCGCTGCGGAGCAGGGAAGGAGATGCCTGCAAACCAAAGAGACCACAGATCTGGAGCGATACGGATATGCCCTCGCTACCAGGGCAGAGGGAAATCCTGGCTCCGTCACTCCCTTCCCTGCTGCCCTCGGGCTCTCGTGGTCTGAGCGGTTTGACTCTCCTGTAGTTTACCAAAGGCTACAGCTGAACTTATTGCTCTTAAAAATGCTGTTTTGCAAAGGCATTTACAGACGCATCAGAAAAGCCAGATGACCTTTCAGATTGCTTGCAGATGAAAGAGCCATAGATACTGAGCCAGGAGACTTCATCTCTGAAAGCCCTATGAAGCAGAAGTTTTTCAAGATAAAACCCATTGCAAGCTGCAAGCATAACGGCAGAGAAATAAAACCAGAACTATGTCAGTAACAGTGATAGCTATGGGGCTGCTCTTGGGGAAGTATTTTGTCTCTGGTCATATGTATATTATCCCCCTGAATGTGTGCAGGGGTGTCCTGACTTGCTGCCCCCTCCCCTCTCCACAGGGGAACAATGTCAAAAAAAACAAAAAACAAAAAAAAACCCAAACCAACCCCCCCCCCCAACTTGAAAGCACACGCTCAGACACGATTCATGAACCAAACACTCTTGAAAGGGGGACCAAGCTTTGTAAAGTGCCCACTGCTGCCCCACTAACGGCCTGTGACAGCTGTGCGGAGACGGGCTGCGTGACAGCGAGGGAGCTGACAGACCCCGCTGGGAACCCCCCGGCGCCAGGCCCGGCACCCTGCCCTCGTCTGCCAGAGCTACAGCCGCAGGAGCGCACCCAGCTCCAGCCCGTGCTGGCAGGACGCTGGCATTTCTCATCGGGCCGCTCCCCCTCTCACTCAGATGGCATTTTTCTTACCCTCGCCAACATGCCCTTGACATGCAAGTCTTTCCTCAGAGCTGTGAGCCACGCTGCTTTACAACATTAATGGCCTTTTGCTCCACACGCGAGGTGACTGCCAGGACGCTGCCTGTTTTCCTCATTCCCAAGGCTGAGCTGGCAGCTTTGTGCCTCCCGACTTGGCAGCGGTGCGGGCAGCGCTCCTGTGCATGTGTGCTGTCACAGGTACCACCGTGCTGCAGCAGCAGGTGCACAACCGGAGTCTGCTTTGGCACACAAGCGTTACAGCCCCGCTTAAGGAGAGAGTACAGGCAGCACAGGGAAGAGCACACAGGAGGGAAAAACGCCATCAACGGGAAACTGTCCGCCTGCACGCCTTCCCTAACAACCCGCCTAGCGTCAGCCACATACTGACACCGCATGTGAGAGAACAGGCAACCCACTTGCAGAAAGCTGTACGCGTGGAAGGGGTAGAGGCGGAGGTGCTGGGAACCGAACCCGCCGTCTGCCCACGTCTCAGCCCCCGAGCATCGTCTCGGGCCCTGCTGGGATGATGCTTACGCTTAAATGCGGACGCCCAACGCCAAGGGCAGCTGCTATCACAGCTCAGCCTGGCAGCTTGTTTAGCAGCGCGGGTCCCGTAAGCATAGTTGAAAGCAGCTGCTGTAGGGGACAGATTTGAGCAAGTTTACCAGGGTTCTGCAGAGAGCTGAGCTTGTCCAACCAAGCAGGGACAGTGGTGTCCAGGGGGAGGATAGTCCAGACTGAAAAGTCAGGCCAGATCATGAGCCTTTTCCAGGAAAGCTAGTTGCTGCACATCCTGGCAACTTTCCAACTCTTATGTGCTTTTAGCTATGAGTCTTTTAAAAGCAGGTGTAGTGAGGAATGACAAAGGATGGACCCATTTTCAGACCCATGGGACCATGACTTGATTAGCAACAGACACTGCTCTGCAAAGCACTGTAAAGGCGCATCCAGAATCTGAATGAGGTCAGAGGCTCACACCCAACGCTAGAAATCCATGAACTTTGGTAATATTATCCACAACAGATATTCCTATCATGTCCTGGGTCAAGACAGTCTAACTAAGCAGGGACTAAATTAATGAAAGATGCTGTTTGTTTTGAAGAAGCCCTCACCGTTAACTTGTACGTTACTTTACACACATCTCACTGTTCTGTCTTTCAGTACATCGGTAGCTTGGACGTACCCAGGCCCAACAGCCGCGTGGAGATTGTGGCAGCCATGAGAAGGATTCGGGTAAGTGCCAAAGAGCTGAACCCCCGTGGAATACAAGGTTACATTCACTGGGGTGACTGGGTTGCAGTGCGCTGTTCTGCATTCCCCCCCCCCCCCCCCCTTCCTATCTGGAGCTCAAATCTCAGCACAATCAGGATTGTAACAAGCTCCTCCAGAAATTCCCAGGGCGTATTAGGATAGACCCATCCCCTGCTCTTTGCAAAGGGATCAGTTAGCAAAACTCAAACATAAACCTCTCGTCTCTGCTGAGCAGGTATGGGGATTCTCCTTGAACCCAAGAGATTTATTTAGCCTGTTTGGGTTTGTGTGTGTATGAAAAATGAGATGTACACAATCTGCTTCACAAAAGCACTCAAATTCATTGACAGTTCCAAATATATTATGTTATTATATATTGAAGTATCAGTGGCCTGGCAGATGTTACGGATGTAAATCCCTTCAGACTAGACTTTGTGGATGCTGCTGCTCATGGAATAATTTGCTGCTTTCACCCATCCTCCAATGCAGTTTTACAGTTCCTGTTTCTCATCATCAAGTCTGCACTCTTCCTCCTGTAGCCCTTTATTCTTCCGAACGGCCTGTGAATGGTCACTAGATTTAGCTACAATTAGCAGGGTGGCTAGCTTACACCTGCTTCACGTGTAAGCAGTTCAAGTGTATCTACCCCAAAAGGCAGTGCAGCTGTTGTGCCTGGCTGAAGTTTTGCAGGGGTCTTAATTCTGAGGCTGTTCATACGTCTCACATCAGCCGAAGCAGGTTTGAGAAGCTTCCATTTAAAGCTTTGAAGGGATTATACTATTTTCCCCCCCCTCCCCCCACAGTGTTTAACCATCTAATTTTCATTTAGAATAGCGCTTTTTAAACTTAGCCTGTAACTGGCTGGGGAGCTGATGTATTCATCTCCAGCCAAGCTCAGAAATGACATTCCCCTGTCTTTGCCTGCTCAGACTATTAGCACAGCTCTTGCTCAGAACACAGTGCAGCAGCAGTCTAAATTGCCTGGTTATTTATGGAACAGGTGAACATCTATAGGAAGCAAAGGCAATAGGTGAGGACTACTGGGGCGGTTTAGATGCTGGCGTAACTATTGGTAATTTTTGATCTGAATCAATATTTAGCATCAGATTTGACACTACGCTTCTGCTGATCTTTGACTGGATAACACCCTTGCAAGAAAAAGCAGACAGTATTTTAATATCAGTTTCTAGAAAAAGTGTTGCCCTCCGTTTTCACGCCTGCTGTTGCCACGCTGGAACCCAGCTCAGAGTCCTGGCAGTGCAATAGCATGCTGGAGTGCTACATGAAGCATATAAGAAACCGCTCTGCATTCATGGATGCCATCGGTTAATCTTATCACACAATATTTTTAAAGTAGGCATCCTGTGTTCTATACTGGGTTTTTAATCTTGGAAGCCCTTTCCAAAAAGGGAGGGCTTCCCTTTTCATGTGCGTATTGTACAGCAGGATCTTATTCAGACACTTCCTGGCTGCTGAGCGGAAGATGCTCCTCTATTGAAGATAGTTAATTGGCACTGATCCTTAATTAGAGCATAAAGAATGAACTGGGAGGCTTTGAAGGGAATTCTAGTGCATAGAGTACACAACCTAGGAACTGAGGGAAGATGGGGGTTATTTATGTAGCGTTCATTTGCATGCAGAGGCCTTGTCTATGCTAGAGTTTTTTCCCAGGGACTCTCAGCAGCACCAGTTGCAACTGGGAGGAAACACTGGAAGAAGCTATTGGTGGAAAGTAGTATTTTGCTACCATCTCATTGTGAGTGGTAGTGCCTGTTTGCACTGCAAGAGAGAGAAGGGTCCTGCAGCCCTGCCAAGTGCTGACAGGGGCACGTGGTGCTGAAGGTTTCATCCTTTGTGCGCTCCAGTGTTCCTCTGGAATTCTCTGTTGGAGCGGAAGAAAAAAGTCACATAGTACAAGCCCTAGCACTACATTTCCTACGCTGCTCTCCATGCCCTGCGACACGGGAGGAGGCAGCGTGAGCCATCACCGGAGCAGTTGGTGACGGAGCTGGCTGAGCGCAGGGCAGGCTGTTACTCATTGCTTCTGCCACTCCAGAAGGGGACCGGGGAGGAAGATGAGGAGTCACAGCCCTGTATTTTTCCAGGCTCTGACAGAGCTGGTTGCTCTAGTTATTCATTAGTAAATTGGTACAAGCTCTGAAACTCCCTTCCTACTACTATGTCTGATTCTGGTCTCCAGTCTGTGATTAAAAGCGCTTGCCCCAGGGAAAAAACCTTGAGCTACCTAGCACTCAAAGTTGTCCTTAGAGTGTGGGGAGGGAGAAGGTGGTAAGAAAAGCAGCAACTCCAGTTGCTAAGTGTACTCCTTGGCATCTCATTGCTGCCCTGTGTTTTGCACTGCGCTCTTTTGCCAGTTGCATATGAATTATGCCAGGGAGCCTGGGAGGAGTTTGGTGGTGTTCTCCACGCATTAGCGGAGCAGTCTGCTTGCAGACTTCGGGACATGCCGAGCGCACAGGCTATGGGGACATTACTCCCAGAGAGCCTCAAACGACATGTTTTAACATTAGTCTGCTGAAGTCACGGTCTGCTCTTTTGCAGTAGGTATTTAAGATGCACTCTCATAGTAAAGCTTAAACCCATATTCCTGACTGAATGGATGCTTGTAGAATTGCTATCAATACTCCATTAGTCACACACTAGATTCCCATTTCATAACAGACTGCAAAACCTTGTCTCATCATGTTCTGTGCTTCCACAGGAGGGAATGCAAATGCAATGGGCAGAACAGGGAAGCTGCTGTACTTAGCCTCCCATTATGCAGAGCTAGACAACTTTAAGTTTGCTAATCCTCCCAGTGGATTATTAGCTGCATACAGTTGCCATGTTATTATATGATCATCAGAGTTCAGACTAATCCCTCTACCTCCTCTTGCCCTGGCAGGGGGGGTGATGAAATTGGTTTGCTACTTGAATAAGTACCCTGTGCTCCGACAGGCACGTCAAAGCGCTGTTTATGAGAGTCCGATTCATTGCGCAGCTCCGAGCACCCAGCGCAGACAGGCATTCCTCCAGCTCCCAGGGAGAAGCGGCATGCCGCATCTGCCATCTCCCGCTGCCTGAGGCCACCCGGGTCCGGGTGTCTGGCAGCACCCGCTCCAGCTCCTGCCTTCAGAGTCAGCGTTCTGGTGGAGCTGGCTTTCTGCTGAAGTGGATTCATCTGCAGATATTTGAGCCTTCTCAGCACGCTAAGGAGCTTATGTACAACACAAGATTTTTCTTCCTGCAGAAGTCAAGTGGCAGCTAATGTGAAGAATGTGAAAGTCCTTCTCGAGGGCCCAAATAACTCCCTGATTCAGCAGGGTCACCCTTTCCCTCGACACATACTACTCCTGGCTGCCTGTTAGCGAACAACCGAATAGCCAAGTTCTCCCTGTAGCCAGGTGAAGGCTCTCACTGAAGTTAAGAGGAAAGATGTTGCGGAGCCCACACAACACCGAAACAGTAACAGGAAAGCTTTGCTAAAAATGCTTATGGGTACAGGCCTAGGGGTAAAGATGAGTTTTGTAAAACACAAAACATTTCCTTGAAGCTCCTGAGGTTGCTTGGGAAATCTTGCCCTGGGAGACCAGGGAACGGATGGCTTTATGTGAAGGGTTAACATCGCCACATGTCCTGCATCCCTTCCCTAGCTTCCACAGAGCTAACGCTGACCAGAGCGGCAACAGTCAGCTCTTACCTTCCTAGGGCAACACTACCCCCAGACCAGCACTTCACAGCCAGTCAAGCAGCCCCAGTGACATGCTGCTATTTTAAGTGGCGAGTTGTACAAGGACATGGTAGGAGTAAGTGTCAGAGCCTGTCATCTGCACAGACAGCCTGCTGTCAGCAATTCCCCAAGTTGCTCCATTTAATTACCTTTAAGTCACAGAATCGGTTTCCCTGGAATTTGCACTTAAGATTCTACGAAGCCTAGAAATTTCAGGTCTGTTTGGAAGGTCTAGCATGGACCTAAGCAGGTATTAACACTCAGAAAGGAGCCAGATGTTGGATTATTTAATCATTTCATAAGGGAACAGCCAACTGGTGCTGTGCCCATCCAAGCACCAGGATGAACAAACAGGAGGCAGGCATCCAGACTAACGTGTTTCTTCTGTTACCTCCACATTTCTTAGGCTTAATTTAATTGAGAAGTGTTTTTCCCCAGAGGCCAATGTGCCGGAGGAGCAGAAACATTTCTAAATCTTGACTCAGGATACATCAGAAATGCCCGAGTTCTCCTTGGCATGAAAACCAGGTTCTCACGTCAGCCTGCCTCTTATCCTGATCATTTTTGCTGCATCCATGCTCTTAAGCAGAGCCTCAACGCTTTGCAATTTCTCCACATGGTATTCTGGTGAGGAATTGCACTCTAGCCACGCTGTAAGTCATACTGACTGCCAAATATCAACTGGTAGTGTTGAAGTGTGACATGACATCAATTTAAATCGGGATGAGTAAAAGTTGCAATCCTACAGTGCAACCTTGCGAAGCAGAGGCGGCAGGGACAGCCGCACAGCACCCGCCTCTCCCGCACCCCAGCGGCTCCCAGTCTGATAGCTGGGCTGGCTTCACACGGCAGCTTATCCTTAAAGCCACGCCAGGCTGTAAATTGCAATGGTTCGGGAGCAAATATGGATGTCATTTATCTGCTCTGGCTACAGAAGGAGAGGAGCCAGGTGGAGAGCAGGCAGAGGGCAGGGTGACTGCCTTCAGCCATCTCAGTGTAATTTATCGCTGTGTGGCAGACTTCAGAGGCAGAGACGTTTAATAGACTTGTTCATGAGATTCTTTAAGAACACCGTTCGCTCAGTTTTCCCAGGCAGACAGCCTTCTTAATAGAGAGGAGAAGTTCACCAAGATAACCGCTGCACAGATTCCTCTGATATATTCTGCCTATAAGCCCTTCCTGAGTTATTACGCTTGGAGCTAAGTTTTCCTGCCAGCTTCATGTTAATCTGAGCTGGAGTTGTGATCAGTAC